AGACAAGGTGAGAGGATTTCACACTTCTCAAAATACAGGTAGAACTTATCACATTTAATTCAAGTATTGAGACAAATACATATGTGTAAAACTATATAGCTGAAAACAATTATAAGCACAACATGATTACTTGCAATGTGTTTAAAGAAATGTTTAGAAAAAATTCACCTTAAAACTGATCATTTTAAAGTGGGAATATCTTTTCTTTTTTAGCTTGAGTCTTTATCATTGCACTTTATCACCATAGTTTTTTCTTAACCTTTCTCAAGGGTGATTTTACTTTCCAGCAAAGCAGAGTTGGATATGTACAACTCTTCCTCCTCCTGGCCCAGCAACAGATGAAATTAAAGGTTTTCATCCTAGCTCTCTGAAGTCCATTATGTAAAATTAATTTGGAATCAGTAAATCAAGTCACTCATTTTTTTTTTTTTTCATGCGAAGTTAAGCAATCAGACAGGACATTTCAAAGTATGCAAACCATTAAGCATGGCTCATTTCCCAGGCACTCCATTTTCCCTTTTATTTCCTCATGCATACTTGATTCTTCTCCCTGTAGGTATTTCTAGACTACTTGTCTAAGTTTGGGAAAATTGTCTTTGATGATGTTTAATTCATGGGTCTCAAGGAAGGTACATAGGCCTCATAAAGCAAAAGCTCTTACTAGATTTTTTTGTTTTGTTTTGCATGTAGACTAAGATGTTGCAAGTTTTCTAGACCACAGAGAAAGGGTTTCCTGCTTTGTTGCATATTGCAGATCTTGGGCCTTTGTCCAAAGCTAGTTTGACAGTGAAGACCATCTTATCTTTAAGAAAGTACAAACACCCAGTGAATTACTCCAACTAGATTGATTAGTCAGCTTCTAAATGAACTTATCATTTACGAACAATGCTTTGGCTAAGACACTTTCCTCATGATCTGAGAAGTGATATTAACCCTTGCTGGCAGCTCTGTGTGTGTGTGTGTGGGGGGTGCTGATTGTGTGAATAATTTTTAGGCAGAGTACATCAATCCTCACTTTAAAAATCCCTTAGTGCACAAACAATACACACATCTCAAAATAAACCATGAACTGGAGAAACTTTAGGTAAAATTTTTCATGTTCTTAATGAGGCTTTCCCCAGCTGCTTTACTGCATGGTTTTACCTAAAATTCAGTTTCCCAAAGTTTGAGCCATATTTTCCTAATATCTGTCATATTCACTGACCATACGTTTCTTAATGTTTTGGTTAACTTAATTGACTTTCAAAACATCAAAGCAAAGTTGCATTTTAAAAGGAAGCTCCGGTGTGTATTTTTCTGTTATGAAATACATTCACGGTGTTTAAGAAGAATGAATACATGGTTCACATCTCAGTGAAAACTAAAAGCTGGACACTGGTTTTTCATGGTTTGGAGAATGTTGGTTCTTTAGGAGGTGTACCACTGTGGTAGACACTCTCAACCTTGCCTACCATGTCTATTCTGTGCCCCTCAAGAACATAGCTGAAACAAGATGAGCCTCCTATACAAATGCGTCTGACCTTCCTGTTACACACCAAAAGTAACCAATTAGGGTGTCCTGTAGACAGGATTAAAATAGGGTAGTTTTGTTAAAATCTCAACTATTTCCAAAGCAACGTTTTGTTGGGGGTGGAGAAAAGAGTTGGAGAGATTCATAAACAATGTAAAATTAATTAAATTTAGATCTTCCTTCTAGTTATGGAGTTTGACACTTCATTGCACTCTTTGTACATCTTGTCCAACTTGAATCGCATGAGCCAGTAAGACAGAGTGAGTCACTAGTCATTACTGAGGTACTCTTGATTTCTATTTACTTCTTATACAGCCAAGAACTGGACCCATGGCCTTGACCATTAAAAAAGTGCTCTTTCACTGAGCTACACTCCCAGTCTGGCTTTGAATTTTTTTATATAGTCCATACTGACTTTCAAATAATGATTCTCCTGCCTCTGCCTCATGAGTACTGGCCCTTCAGGCATACACTGCTTCACTCCATTTAATCATTTTTGTTTGTTGTGTGTTTTCGTTTATTTGCAGTGCTGGGGACTGAACCCTTGGCATACTACAGCACTGAGTCACATCGTATCTCTCTCCTAATTCCATGGCTTTCAACACCGTTTTCCCTGGACAAAGTAGAAAAGCAGTACTTCATACTGGATGAGAACAAAAATTATCTGCCTTTGACTCAGAACTCTATTTTTTTTCTTATTGAATTGGAAAATAGTACAAAGCAAAAGAACAAGGAAAAAAAAAACCTAATTAGATCTCTGTGTGTATGAGTATACATCTCAGGGGGAATATGGAGGTCAGAGGACAACTAGAGAAAATTGGTTCTCCCCTTCGACCCAGAGAGTCCTGGAGGTCTGACACAGGTTGTCAGGGTGGGCAGCAAATGCCCTTGTGTGCGGAGTCATTCTGATGGCTTTGAAAAAAAATTAAATAAAATTAATTCCTACTAAAATCTGTAACTAGCCTCTTTTTATAGATTATCTTCTATGTTGATGTATAGTTAGCTTTTTACATCTGTTATTTTTCTTTTACCCCCTTTCTTATTCACATAATCTTTTCTACCATTACCTGTACAATTAAGGGAGTCAAGTAAATGATGTGCCCCAAATCATGACTAGTACAAGAAAATGATAGAGCTGGGCCTTCCTGAATCTTTCTGCATTTCAATCTGCAGCTTTCTATTACACAACACTGCTTCCAAGTGAAAAGATGACCTAACTCATAAAAAATATTCACAAAAACATCAACTTAAGAAATATATTAAGATATAACCCCTTGAGTTTCAGAAAGATTTACAACTGTTAAGAGTCCCATAAATCTTGGGAATTCCCCTCCTGCATAATTAGACCTCGTCTGTAGCCTCAAGGAGTTCATGTATCATTTACATTTTGACAGAAATCCTACAGAGGAGCGACTATATAGAGATGAAAGATTTGGGTCAACCTTTTGTCAATCAGTAATGAAAATAAAACAACTTGGAAGTTGTAATGCGAACCCCTGGGGCAGAGATGACGGGAGTTAAGAACAACCGCACAGAGCAGCCCGGGGGGGCACTGCTCCTGAGTGCAGTTATGTGGGCGGTTGATGTAAGTGACCTCAGAGGACAAAACATGGTCACAAAACATTGTTTCAGTTCTCACAAGCAAAGACACAGTGGGAAAGCAGAGACTCTTTTCATGGCTGTGGAGAACTTCCATACTGAACAGCGTAATTTTTAAATACACTTGCCCTGTGACTTAGGCCCTAAGTTGAGTGTTTTTTCAAAACAGGGCATCTTCTGAAATGGAATCCAGATCGATGGGGTGCTCATCAAAAATGAAGATCCTTAAGTCTCAATGAACACTTATTAAATCCAGATCTCCAGGGGACGGTTTTGGAATCCACATTTTAAAACAAATTCTGGTGGCTAAAAATGCAGTGTCACTCAAAAATCCAGGACATGTAATAAGTGCTGGTAAACTTAGAGCATTGACTTATTAGCATCTCTTTGACGTTTCTTTGTGCGAATCCCCTCCACATGACCATTCACTTGGCAGAAAGAGGTGTTTATAAGTCACAATCAGACCCTTTCAAATGAGGAGAGCTTATCTAAGCTTCAAGTTCATTTCCACTTGGAACCCAGCTTATCAGCTGCCCTGAGGTCAAGGGAACACTGGATATCTCTACAACTGATGCAGTCAGAACTCTGGAAAAGGCAAAAGAATCCCAAACTCCAACAACGTTTAGAAGTTAAGTACGGGTGGAGATCCATTTTTAAAATCTCCACAATAAACTTACAATAAACTGTTCTTACAATAAACTGTAAGTTCTGGTCTATTAATTCCTCAACACTTTTTTTTTCCCATCAAAAGAATAAATGAACAAAGCAACATAGCTGTCAGGTTTCAGCTGTTAATTGGGTTACTCAAAGCCTTCACGGACAGTGTTACATTTCTAATGTCCTCCCAGCGTTGGTGGCTATTGTGTTTTATATCTTTATTTCTAGAACTGAAAAAACAAAAAAGGGTGACAGATTCACAAAGTACTAAGAGAACTAATACCTAAGATCAGAAAAAGTACCTAACATTTTTGAAGTCATTTAATTATCATATTGCTTTGCAAATGCTGACTACTTTGTGAACAGAATATTTTTTTTTTTAAATGTAGACCAACTTGCCACACTTTTGTGCTGTCCACCTCTTAAATCAAGGGCTTTGTTCAATATACTCTCAGAGGCATGAGGAAGACATAATGAATGTTTTCTGGATGCAGTAGTTAAAACACCCAGCCAAGAGTGACTATTAGTTTCTTCCTTGGAAAAGCATCAAAGTTAATATAAAATTTAGTGCATTAAAAGCAAAAAAACTTCCTACTAAAACCTTAATGCTTTGAAATAAAAATATCAAATATTCTTATTCTAATGAGATAGCAGGTGCATAAAAGCCACAAGTTGGTAGATAATGAATAACCAGAAATAAGAAAGGTGAGGAGTGTTAAAAAGATTTGAGATCTATGGTAATAACTGTTTGGTCTCAACATTTCTGTCTTGATATAGACACAGCTCTATAGGTCTGGAATTTACACTTAAGATCACCTGCTTCTAACTAAAGAAAAGAATTCTAGGCAGTAAAATAATTAAAACTCACGGAAATTTTATCAGGATGAACACATCAAAAAATTTTGAAATAAAAATGCTTACATATGATTAAGACTAACCTCACTAAATACCTCGAGAATCCTGTGGGCTCTGTACTATCTTGCAACAGAGAAAATTGCAGTTTAACTAAGAACTCAGAAGCGACACCCATGGTGAGACTGGAAAACATTTATTTTGAATATGATGGCTTTTCAATACAATATTTTGTCTTCTCTGAGTTGGTAGACTCAATGATAACTTTATTGTGGCTCCTTTAAGATGTCAGGTTTGCAGGCCTAGAAATCAATACTACTTATTTATTTTCTGTTACTTATAAACCAGTGTTTCATCAGAGCCATTCACGATATGATAAAAATCTAATTATCTGACACCTTTATTGCACAATAAGTTCAAGATAAAGTTTCAAAAACACGAATTGAGGATTTACAAATGCCATGGTTTAGGGATACAGTGAATGAGTGAAGATTGGTGTACTTTAAAGAACTCATAATCTGGTACAGGAAATAGGCAGCAATCAAGCAAACAAACATGTTTGGGTAGTGACTGATGTTTCTGAAAAGACAGCAGGGTCATGAGATGAACGGTGGCTGGGCGCATGGAAGGTTTTATAGACAGTGCCACTATGAAAGAGTTCTTTGAGACCCAATGATAAACAGAGGCAGGTGGGTAAAAAGGCAGGGACATCCCTGGTGTGTCTAAGAACAGCCCCCACAGGCCAGTGTGGCTAGAATGGAGTGAGGGCTTTGGTACAAGTCTAGAGAGAAGTCAGGGTGAGGCAGATCAAGTCACAAAACCCCTACACGCAGCAATACATGGAGGAATGGCCCGGAGGTGGCCAAGCTGCAGTCAGACAGGAAAGATGGCAATATGTTGGCATAGCAGGTTCTCAGTTCAACAGCTATGCCAGCATCTTGCCTCCTCTCCAGTTCCAAGTTACAGGAGCAACAGCACGCGTCTCTGTTGTTCTACTTTTTCACAATCTCTCCTTCCACCTGAGGGAGGGAAAACACAGCCATTAGTTGAAAACACAAGCTCTTTCCTAAAGCAACAACACACCCTTCCTTGGAGTGCCCAGTTCTGAAGGCAATTATGCACAAGGAGGTTGTGGCTAGTTCCTATTTTGGATGTTCCTTGAATGAAATGAATCCCAGAATATCGGCTGCTGGTGAAATGACAAGCAGCTCTGAAAGAAAATTAAGTCATCAACTCTGGCAACGATGATTACAGCCACATTCACAGCCCAGAGCACTGCAGTGACCCCAGTACACTACCGCCTGGAGGGTAAGATCTTGCTTCACTAATCTTGGCCATTTGGACGTGCCTGTCACAGTGTGTGGTTACTTGCCTGCCTCATGAGCTCTTACGCAGAAAGCTATCTGAGGCAACAATTCTCAGGGAGGAATATTTCTCACAAATACAAATGAAAAAGCTCTATGTTCAAAGACGCTCAGCACAATATTGGCCTACATAGTGAAAGACTAGAAAGACTGTGTATGTCCATCCATACGACAGACATCAGCTAAACGAATTATGATGTAGGTATAAAACAGTGTTTCCTGGTCTTTATAGAAGATTAAGATATAATAATGACATTAGGCATGATAATTTGTATATCAAATGTATATACACAAATATTGGAGATTATGCTTATAACATTTTTCTTGAAGGGTACACAAGTGATTATTTAAAATAATTAGAATTATATATTACTTTTGTTTTCCACTCTCATGGGTTTCTGTTAAAATACTATTGACGAGCAGTAAGTGTGAGGCCGATCTACAGAGGTGAAAAGTGTTACTCCCTTGGATATAGCTAACATCAACTGTGTTTTCTAGAAACAAAAGTTCAGCATTACACATGGTGTTTCTCTTGGTCAGCCAGGTTGTGAACGATATACTGCACAAGCCCCCTTACTCTTTTGCCCTGGAGCCAGGTAAAAGAGCAGAATAGATACTGATTGATATAAGAATACTGAAGAGATGATACTAATTACTGTACGGATATTTAATAGTTCTTGGTTCATCCAGCACAGCGCATGGTTCAAATATGAACATCAAATGAATAAAGACTAGATAACAAAATACACACGAAGACTTCATGGAATAAAGTTTCCCAAAAGAGCTCTTTCGTCTTCCTACTCTCTCATGCTTGCCATTGAGAGCAAACACAGGCTGCATCACTTTAGAGGGCACACGCTACACAATTTAAAACACTGCGACTTTTCAGATTCATCTTATAACATGAAAATTTCAGATTCGTTTTACAGAGAAGCATGAATGTTGGGGATTATTTGATTTACCAGAGACAATAACTATCTGAGAACTTACAGGCTGTTTGATGAGGCTCATCTAGGGGAAAGATGGGGTAATAGAGTAATTCATACCCTCTCTCCACTTCCAGTTTCCCTCTGTATTTTAAAATGCCTCAATTTACAGTTCAAACTTCCAGAAGACAGTTCTGCACCCTGCCTTAGTTTCCCCTCTGTTGCTTGGATAAAATAACCACACAAAACTCAAGGGAGAAAGCGTTTCACTGTAGCTTACAGTTTACGGTGCAGGTCCCCGTGCAGGGAAGTCAAGGCGGCAGCAACCAGAGGCAGCTGCCCACGTGGTGTCCATTACCAGGAGGCTGCAGAGAGTGTTTCTCAGCTCTCTTCCTCCGATATGGACAGGAAGTGGTCCTACCCAAAACTAAGCTGGGTCTTTGCACATCAACTATAGGAAACAAGATGTTCCTCACAGGCATTCCCTGAGACTCATCACCCAGGTGATTGTATATTTTGTCAGGTTGATAGTTCACTCTAACCATTATACTACCACTATTAAGAAAGCTGTTACCATTGTTACTTGTTGTGTGTGTATGTATGTGTGTGTGTTTTTTAATATTTCTAATAGTGAATCAAGGATACCAAATGACTACTGGTAATATATTAGGACATAAACTTCAAGCCTAATCATAATTATGTTTCAACCAGAAAATAAAACAAGACAAAAACTGGATTACGGATCCCTGATTACAAGCCCTTCACGGTTAAAGTTGAACCTTGGAAAATGTTGGCAGTAGAATGTCCTGAAGAAGATGCATGGGCCACTTATGATTTCCTTACCCTAAAATGATTTTTTTTTCTTTTGTGTCTCAAACCTTTGTTAGTATAGTTATCAAAATAAAATTCAAACTAATTTCAACGTTGAAACCAGCAGCCTGATTTCCTTTGTAAGCGATTGATTCGAAGCCATTCTAGAAGCAATGCCAGCGTGTCCTAGACACGTGGGAGCCAGGAGAGAGCTAACAACACTGGCTGTATTTCCTATGCAGAGATAAGGAAGGAAATCAGCTCGATCATGGTGACTAGCTGTGACTGGCTGGCATAGCTCCAGAACTGGAATACAATTTACTCAATGTGTCATGTTTAAAATATTTTTCCAAAGGAAGGCTGGGATTGGGGTTGCTCATGATTATGAGTAAAGGCTAGAATGTACTATTTTTTTTAAGTACAGCATTATGGAAACATTTGTGGTCCAATCAAGAACGTAACTATGGGGGAAAATAACATTTACTGAATATGTTGGGATTGCTTTTGGGAACAGACAATTTAACAGGATGTGCTTAAAGCTACTCCCTAACTGATAGAAGCCAGATGTGTGTCTGCCTTACATCTGGTGGGCTGCAAAAAGGAGTATGTATACATATACTTACATACACACATATAAAAAATATATAGACACACATTATATACAACCATATGCTTATGTGTATATATAGGTTACAGTGGAAAATATGATTTCTTAGATATGGGCAATGATAATATGAAGGTCATTGGAAGGGCTCAAAATCTACACAAGAACATCATGAATTAATGACATTGTGTAGTCACTGTTCATTTACATATAAAAATGTCCCAATGAGAGGGAGAACTACAAGGTGGGACGGGAGAATCAACTCCTGAGTCTGTGCCTGCCTGCACGCACGCACGCACGCACGCACATAAACAGACACAGAACAGATAAAGGATAAAAGTTAAAATGTGAGCTCTTTTAAAAGAGTTTAATTTTGGAGAAGGTTTCGTGTGCTTTCCATTCACTTCCCTCTGGCGGGGATGCCTTGCCCGACCTCAGTGGAAAGGATGCACTCAGCCCTGAGGTGACTTGATGCGCTGGGGTGGATTGGTGGAGGGAGGGCTCTCCTTTTCTGAGGAGGGAGAGGGGGAAGAGAGAGGGAGGGTGGGAGGAGAGGAGAGAAGAGGGTTATGATTGGGATGTTAAGAGAATTTAAAAAACATTTCAAATAGTTTTTTTTTTTAAAGGACAATTTAAGTCAGGTGTGGTGGCGCACAGCTGTAATCCCAGCACTTGGGGAGGCAGAGGCAGGCAGATTTCTGTGATTTTTGAGGCCAGCTTGTTCTATAAAGCAAGTCCAGGACAGTCAAGGCTACACAGAAAAACGCTGTCTTGAAAAACCAATATATATATATATATATATATATATATATATATATATATATATATATATATGAAAATGAAATAGTATCACAGGTTTCTCAGAGTGCCTTTTCAGCAGCAGGACTGTATACAAAATCTTGTATATGTACAAGACACATCCATGGCTTATATAATTTTAATTTTTATGTAATTCTTTCTATGGAAGAAGAAAACTACTAAAGACCGACTTGCTTTAACTTAGGAATGGTTAGGAGGTTCAACTGAATATTTTATAACTGCTACAAGTACTAACATACAGAGGAACTGCCCTGCCTGCCCCTCAACGAGGAACCCATGCTCTTCCCTCAGCCCAGGCAATATCTGTCCTCCAAGTACACACACTGGCATTATCAGGCTTGTTTCCTCTCAGGGAGTATCATTTATCATTCTTGGCTTTTTTTCCTTATTGTGTATGTTCTTTACAGAGGTAAGAAAGAAGAAATATATCTACTGTTATAAGAATTCAGGACAAACCAAAAATGGTAAATAAACCTAAGCCTTCACAATCTCAATTTTTAAGAGAATTCTATACAGAATTAGTTTTTGACCAGTAGAAAATGTGGAAGACATCTTAACAGGAGGAGCTCTAGGAAAGAAGGTCAAAATTATCTGGGTATGGTGGCACAAGCCTATCTCTGTGAGTTCGAGGCCAGTCTCGTCTACAAAGCAAGTCCAGGACAGCCAAGGCTGAAAAAAAAAAAAGGCCAAAATTAAGCCATTTTGTATTTAGTAAAATCTAATGCTCCGAGTCACCAACAATGACAGGGCAGTATTCAAATCCAAAGACCCCCAGAGCTTCAAGATGAGCTGATTTCAGATGGGGTTTCAAGAAGGAATGCAGCCCGGCCACACTAAGGAGGCTTCTGGAAGGAAAGTCAAAGTGAACAGGCAACCGGCCACTCTCGGCTGAGTAGTGGACCCAGGAGACACTCTGCAGGAGAGAACAGACATGCTTTTAGCCACAACAGCTGCCCTTAGTTCCCACATTATGCAGGCACCGCATTGTTAATCGGTCATTTCCAAGTTTCCCAAAGCCTCATAGGGTTAAGCAACCTTTCTCCATTTTATTCTCTTCATAAAACTACACAGAGCTGCATGAGGTGGCTTACGCAGGAGGCTGAGGCAGGAAAACTGCTTTGAAGTCAAGGCCATGCTGGTGCACATACATAGCAAGACTGTGTCCTAAAAAGCAAACAGGCAAAAAGGGCGTGCTGTTTCCCACTACGCATCTCTCTACTGGCATCTAGCCATGTTTTCACCCCAGGAGGAGGTGCTTGTTCCTGAAGATGGCCAGGAAGTCTCTGCTCTGATGCAGTGTTATTTGTAGAGCCAGGTGTATTACCACAAATTTTTTTCTTTTTTTTTTAATTGGCGTGAAAAGTCATTCACATATTCTCAGCTTTTTTTTTTTTTTTTGGTTGTTGTTTTTTTGTTTTTTTCTTATATGGAAAATGACTGTTTTGATGATGATGCCATTCTAGAGAATGTTTGCTCTGGAAGGGCCTCTTGGAACC